AAAACATAAAACTGCTTATCCCTTCCCCTTTCCCTACTTCCCCCTTTTTTTTTTTTTATACCACTAGCGCATGCTGAAGACGTTTTATACTTCTGTAGAAATGTGCGTCGTAGCATCATCATCGTTCAGTCTACATGCATGTCTTTTATTCAGCAAGGATGCATTAAATTAATAAAAAGTGATAGTAAAGACTTTTAGATTGTTACAAAATATAAGTCATTTAAAATAAATGCTGATATTCTTTTTGACTTTCTATTTATCAAAAAATCCTGACAAAACAATATGTATTACAGTGAACATTTGGGCGGCGTTATGCAAATCTTCCCACATAGCGACGTAGATATGTGGGGGCGTGTTAGAACCAGTCATTTTAGGTAGGCGTGGTTGACTTTTAACTTTTATAAAGAATATCTCTTTGGATTTGAGACTTTAGTCTTTGCAACTTTACAGATCTTCTTTATGCACCAAGAGCTTGTAACACTCCAAAGAGAAAGGAAAAATTGAAATCGCATCATATGACCCCTTTAAGCAGCACAACTGCTTCCAATATTGATAATAATGATTTCTGAAGGATGATGTGTCACTGAAGACTGCAGTAATGACTGTTGAAAATTCAGCTTGCCATCACAGGAATAAATTACATTTTAAAATATAAAACAATTATTTTAAATTGTATTACTGTTTCACAATATTACTGTTTTACTGCATTGTTGATCAAATAAATGCAGCCTTGATAAGAAACTTCTTACTGGCTCCAAACCTTTGAACAGTTGTGTAAAAAAAAAAAAAAGTGGCTTAAAATTAGATCATTATTAATAATTGATTATAAATATATTTTGTTATAGTTTTTTTTGTATCATTATTTTACTACTGTATATGATAGTGTACATTCTCCATCGCAAAGATACTTCCTCCTATCCCTGTCTTATTCCTCCAGGTCGCTTGAAGCCAGTTCCTGCTCCCACATCTTCTGCACTCATGCACTCCGATTCTGATCTGGAAAGCGATGATGGTCAGGCAGGAATCCCCTGGTCTGATCGAGAGCGTGGAAAACTCCTGCCACCCCAAAACGGATCTCTGCGTAACGGCCAAGGTCCTCATAAACCTAAAAAACAAAGAGAGGAGCTGCTTTAGCACACAAACCAAACCTCTCGTATCGCACCAACGCACTGTTCACCCCTCATCCATGACACTTGCCATGACTTTAATTCAGGAGGGACCTGCAGGACGTCACGAATGATGATATCTGCACCTGCATCCCTGGGCTCAATCGCAGCCCAGTCTGAGCCAAAATGAAAATGCATTTAAACCTGAATGGTGTAAAAAGACAAAGCTGTAGAGCCATGCACCTCAAAAAGACAATGAGAATGTACCTGCTTTACTGCAGAGAAAGATAAGTGATATATGTGCCAGCAGAACCTGGAAAGGGTTGGGCATATCAAAGTAGCTCTGAGAAACTTTTCCCCACCAGAATGTCACATCTCACCGCGGATAACTGAGCCTGCCTCACTGTCCCCTTTCTACCAAGCTTCCTGATATGACAGGCAGCCTGTCACGTCCAAACACTGCCTGACATGTCTATTAATTTGTATGTTTTTACTTTACCCAATAATGCCATGTGGTATGACTGCATGAGAAGGCAAGATTTTGCTTCCCTCGTTCATTTTTATGGTTTGCATGTATTAAATTGAGATGTGCGTGTGCTACTCTGGGGTCTTGCGTGGCTGAATGTCAAAGGTGCGTTTTTGCCCCTTGATGATGTGTCACTGAAGACTGCAGTAATGACTGTTGAAAATTCAGCTTGCCATCACAGGAATAAATTACATTTTAAAATATAAAACAATTATTTTAAATTGTATTACTGTTTCACAATATTACTGTTTTACTGCATTGTTGATCAAATAAATGCAGCCTTGATAAGAAACTTCTTACTGGCTCCAAACCTTTGAACAGTTGTGTAAAAAAAAAAAAAAGTGGCTTAAAATTAGATCATTATTAATAATTGATTATAAATATATTTTGTTATAGTTTTTTTTGTATCATTATTTTACTACTGTATATGATAGTGTACATTCTCCATCGCAAAGATACTTCCTCCTATCCCTGTC